CAGTTCACTCGGAGCAAAATGGCCAAAATTTGCACCTACGCGAGGGAACGGTTTAAACATCAGTTTCAGATCTAGTTAACTATTTCCAAATCTGCATATGTTAAACGCTCCCATTTTCCCTGTAACTGCGAGGGAGACAGGATAAGATTGCTCTCGGAGGAAATGAAACGACGGGGATTTAGTGAACATTTTCCAAAGCACTGGAAAATGTTCCGGTACAAATCAATACCCTCACTTTCTACCTTTCCATCTCTCTCTCTCTCTCTCTCACTCTCTCTCTCTCTCTCTCTCTCTCTCTCTTCTCTCTCTCTCTCTCTCTCTCTTCCTCTTCTCTATCTCTATTCTATCAATCATATTGTCTATATATTTCTAAATTCATCTAAACTCTAACGTCTCTCTCTTCTCTTTCTATCTTTCTTTCTTTTTTTTCTTTCTCTCTCTCTCTCTCTCTCTCTCCTCTCTCTCTCTCTCTCTCTCTCTCTCTCTTCTCTCTCTCTCTCTCTCTCTCTCTCTCTCTCTCTCTCTCTCTCTCTCTCTCTCTCTTCTCTGTCTCTCTTCTCTAATATCTATTCCCATCTTCAACAACCAACATCAAACAATAATGATAGCCACAATAAAACAACAATAACACTAACGATACAAATAACAACAAACCACCATTCGACATAACAACACCAACAACCATAACAAAGCACGGCCCTTCCATCTACCCTTCCAGCCGCTCCCTTCCAAAGACCATAAAAGTAACAAGCTTATCAAGGACCAACTCGTCCGTGTCTTCCCGAGTGCCTTCGTCCTTGGCTGCAGGTTCTCGGCTGCCGGATTCGAGACGCTTCCGCCACAGTCGCGGTTGGCTGGTTCGACGCCGGGAGGGAGGAGGGGAGGAGGGGAGGAGGGAAGCGGGGGTGGTTGAGAGGAGGAGGGGATGGGGGAAATGGGAGAGGGAAGTGAGGGATGGAGTGGGGTAGAGGTTGGGACGGCGTAGGGAGGTGAGGACGGAATGACATCAGGGGGTGAGATCTGCGGGTGGGTGAGGTGAGTGTAGAGGGAGGGGGGCGGAAGGGAACAAGGAAGGAGGAGGAGAGAAATGGGGAAGAGGGGAGGGGTGAGGGGAAGAGTGTTGGGTGAGGAGGAAAGGAAGGGACGGTTAAGGAGGGGAGGCGGGTCTGAGGTTGGGAGAAGGAGGAGGAGGAGGGGTGTAGAGGGGTGGGGAGGTGGGAGGTTGAGGATCCGGTGGGGGATGGCGATGGGGGGTGTTTAGGAGGAGGTTGGGGTGAGCGAGTGGTTGAGGATGGGTTGGGGTTGGAGGGGAGGGTGTGAGGAGGAGGAGGGGGAGGCGCACTGGAGGAGGGACGCGGTGGGTGAGTGTTGAGGAAGGTGGAGAGGGGGACGGGGGAGGTTGAAAGGAGGGGCCGTGGGAGGGGAGGTTGAGGAGGAGTGTGGGGGGGTTGGAGGGGGAGGGAGAGCAGGTAGGTGTGAGAGGAGCGGAGGGGGAAGGTTGAAAGGGGAGGGAGGGAGGGATGGGTGAGGAGCGTGGGGGTGGTTGAGGGGAGGTTGAGGAGGAGGGAGGTTGAGGAGGAGGGGGGAGTGAGAGGGGAGGGGAGAGGTATTAAGCATGTTTGAGGTGGGAGGATCTAAAATACGGGTTTATTGTTGTTATTGTTTACTGCTGTTGTTATGATTGCTATTGGGGATTGGGTTGTTATTTGTGTTATATTATTCATATTGTTATTATATTATTATCATTATCACTACATTATTATCATCATCATCATCATCATTTATTATCATTATTATTATTGCTATTTTTATTTATTATCGTCAATTACTACTATTAATCATTATCAATTATTATCATTATTATTATTTTTTATTATTATTATTACTATTTTTATTATTCCAGTCATTTATTATTATTATCATTATTATTATTATTATTATCATTATATTATTATTTACTATTATTAATTATTATCATTATTATTATTTATTATATTATTATTATTTATTATTATTATTATTATTAATATTCCTACTTTATTATTACATCATCATTATTACTATCAATTTATAGCCTTTATTATGAAAAAAAATCATTGTTATTTTATTCATTATCAGAAATCACACGTAATCAACATCATTTATTTTTATCATTATTATCTTTATCCTCATTTTATTGTTATTCTTATTATTATTATTATTATTATTATTATTATTATTATTATTATCATTATCATCATTATTACCATCATCAACATTATTATCATTATTGTTATTATGATTATTTATTATATTATTATTATTATTTATATTATTATTATTATTATCATTATTGCTACTACTACTACTATCAATATTATTATCATCATCATCATCATCATCATTATTCATATCATTATTATTTTTACTGTTGCTACCATTATCATTTATCTTATCACTTATGATTATTATCCTCATTATCATTATTATTTCTGTCATTCTTATCGCTGTTGTTATTCTTACTATGATTATTATCATAACTATTATTATTATCATTGTCGTTATCATTAATAATAATATTCGTAGTAATATTCCGATTTGTAGTAGTAGTTATTGTATTATCATTATTATTGTTATTATTATCATTGTTATTATTACCATCATTCTTATTATCATGATTATTTTTATCAACTTCATCATCTTTATTTCAATTATTTTTATTGTTATTATTATTATTACTTGCTCTAATACTATTATCATCATTATCGATATCATTATCATCGTTATTTTTCATTATCATCATTATCATTATTATTATTATCATTATAGTCATTATTATCATCGTTGTTGTTATCATTATTATCAATATTGTTGTTATAATTATCGTTATCGTTTTTATTATAACCATTGTTATTATCATTTCTATCATTATTGGTGTTGTTACTACTATTGTTATTATCAATTTCATCATCATCATTATAGCCATTATTATTGTTGTTGTTGTGATCATCACTGTTATCATTATCATTGTATTTATCGATTATTATTATTATCATTATTGTTGATGTTGTTGTCATTATTATTATTATCATTAATGATTAATGATAATAATTTTATTGTTATTCTTGTCATTATTATTATTATTGTTATTATTACTGTCATCATCATCATCATTATTATTGTTGTTATTATTACAATTAGTATTAGTAGCAGTAATAGTAGTATTAATTGTTATTATTACTATCATTACTATCAATATTACTATCATCACTATCATCATTGCTGTCATTATCATTATTATCATCATTATTACTTTTATTATTGTTGTTGTTGCTGTTGTCATTATAACCCGTCTTATGACGCTTGTTATTATCATTATTATTGCTTTTATTGTTGTTATTACTATTATCACTAATATTATCATCACTATCATCATCATCATCAGTCAGATTGACAGACAGAAAGACAGAAAAGATTATGAGAGAGTAAGAGATAATAAAAGAGAGAGAGAATAATAAGATAATAATAATAATAAGATAATGATAAATAATGATAAGATAATAATAATAATAACAAGATAATAAGATGATAATAAATGATAATAAGATAATAATAATAATAATGAGATAATGATAATAATAAGAGAGAGAAGGGGGATGAGAATAAGAGGAAGATAAAAAACAGAAAGAGAAGAGAGAGAAAGGAAAATAAAGACGTACAGAGAAAGAAAACGATAAAAGGGAGAAACAAGATACGTGAATGACGAGAAAGGAAAACAAAAATACAACTGGACTTAATTTGTCCCAAAGACTTCAGTTTCACATGAACAACCCATCATGCTAACCTACTGTGTGCTGTGTTGGCGCAGCGGTAAGGTGCTGGTCTAGCAATCTTGCGGACCTGCGTTCGATCCCACGCCCGGCCAGTGAATGGTATCCCCGCCCACTCCTTGCACACAGGGGGAGATTTGGGCAAAATAAAACAGACAGTATGTCACAGCAAAGAATATCCATTGTAACAAATGGAATTAAAACTAAATCTTAAAAAATCTTAAATCTATTTGTAAACATCATGCAAATAGTTCTGCAATTACTCTCTCAGGCAACATTGCAAATGCCAAAATAAGCGATGGTCAACGTGCAGTACTTCTCATTCTGACTGATTGCAAGCCCCAAAGATAAAGTTTTTATCTTAGACAAATTAAATTCCTTTTTTTTAAACAAGGAATGGTGTTTTTTTTCAGACAAATTAAATTCCTTTTTTTTTTTTAACAAGGAATGGTGTTTTTTTTCAGACAAATTAAATTCCTTTTTTTTTAAACAAGGAATGGTGTGATTGGTAATTTGAATTTTGAATTATCTTAAATTTTTTCATGATGTTTCCATTACAGATAATTTTAGCTATGTGGTGTGTGTTGTGTGTGTGTGTGTGTGTGTGTGTGTGTGTTGTGGTGTGTGTGTGTGTGTGTGTGTGTGTGTGTGTGTGTGTGTGTGTGTGTGTGTGTGTGGTGTGTGGGTGTGTGTGTGTGTTGTGTGTTGTGTGTGTGTGTGTTTTGCTTGTGTGTAAATGAGCGTCAGATTAGATTCCACACATCATTGCTAAAGAAATGATGTCTCGAGAATGCAGAAAGAAAGTCATAAAATATGATGAAAAAGATCTCGTATAGTAATATAAATTATATCAGTTAAAAAAAGGGAGAGGAGAGAGAGAGAGAGAGAGGAGAGAGAGAGGGAGAGAGAGGAGAGAGAGAGAGAGAGAGGAGGAGAGAGAGGAGAGAGAGAGAGAGAGAAGAGAGAGAGAGAGAGAGAGAGAGAGAGAGAGAGAGAGAGAGAGAGAGAGAGAGAGGAAGAGAGAGAGAGAGAGAAGAGAGACAGAAAAGAGAGAGAGAGAGAGAGAGACATATTTTTTTTGCTAATTCAGGTTAAGAATAAAATGCACCCAAATTAATCAGAAACTGGCAAACTATGTCTAGGTGGTATAAAAGCAGGCGCGAGGGAGTGCCTGGCAGCCACAGACCTTTGCGCTGTCTACAACAAGCACAATGGAGGGACTGTTATTGTGTAAGTAAATATGACAAGTTTTTAGAACACTTTTCCTGTGCTCTGTAAGATTTTTTAAAGATTATTTGCAGACGTTTTGAATTATGCTCTATGTTTTTATTTTGTTATGTAATCACTTTCTGTAGATCAACTTATCAGTTTTTCGTCTAAATGTTTTCAGTGTAAGCCTGATTGCTGTTTTTATTTAGTTTTTTTTTTATTTATCTATTATTTTTTTATTGTTCTCTTTGGTTGCGTTGTTGTTTTTTATTGTTTTTCTTCACTCTTACAAACTCTGCCTTTACTTGTCTCTACATTTTTTTTTCCGAAAAGGCTTTGAAAAAATAACGCATTATAGATTTCCTTGCACTGATGGAAAGACAAAAAAAAAAAAAAAAAAAAAAAAAAAAAAAAAAAATCTTACTTCTAATCACCGTATATTATTATTCCTTCAATTAGG